GCTCTTCATAAAATGTGCACCCACCTTCAAAGTCTAACAGATTATTTTCAAGTGGGGATGTGGCTTTTTTTCCACAGCGCACGTGGCGGATTAACGCTGGGCCCCGGAGCATCATCATCATCACCACTTCCAGACTGCTCTTCGTCGTATTTTTCTGTATCGTCGTTGTAAGCGTCATCCACATCGTTTTCGTCCTCCGATCCCGAAATATTAGAATTTTCTGCATCACAAATTGGTAGCAGGATTTCCTCCGCTGTTTTGTATGGCAAGCCTGCAATAAAAACAAAGGTGCGCTCAAATTTTACATCAAATTTCATAGATTCCGAAAACACAAACGCGGGGAGCCGACCCCGCAATTCAACCAAAAAATATGAATAGCGACCCAGCGACCCAGCGACCCAGCGTCCATGCTCGTAAACGTTTCAAGAAAAGCTTTGCGAATTACAAACAAACAGCCGCGTCGCACCAAAAATAGTACCGGCAGGTTCCACAAACACTGCAAATACTAATCATACGCTATTTTAATTATTTGAAGACATCTGAAAAAAAAGTGTTTCTCACCTCTGCGGGTTTGGTAGAACGAGTTCGCGCTGATCTAGGCCATGTTGTTTTCCTCTCGGAGCATTGTATGTTCACGGCGAATCCCGGAGAAAAGATCACCGGAGAAAAGCTCGCCGGAGAAAAGCTCACCGGAGATAAGCTCACCGGAGAAAAGCTCACCGCAAAACCGGCGGATGCGGAGAAAAGCTCACCGATATTTTTCTTCTTTTTACATAAAGGCTGTTGAATCATGCGTAACATATATCAATTTATTATCCCCAACATTCGTCAGCTTTGTAAAAAAGAAAATATAATTTTTTGAATTATTTGTTCAGCTTATTGGGTATATAGCCCCCAAATTAATAACTGCGGGCGAGTGTTTTCTGTGGCTTACTCTCTGTAGAGAGTAAGCCACAGAGAGTACGCCAACGAAAGCCCAACTGTAAACTTTATGAACTTCAAAAACAGGAAAAAGTTCAAAAACTTAATAATGTCTGCCTAAAACCTAAAAACCAAAACTGTAAATGCCGAAAATCCGGAAGTGCATGCGCAACAACGCGGTGCCTGAAAATCTCTTTGAAGCTTTTGTTAACCTTTGAAAACAGGATAAAACAGTCAGTAGGATATCGAGGCTTCCTTCTTCCACGGACATGCACTTTTTCCAGCCGTTCGTGCTGGTGTTTCCTCACGTTACCTTTTCGTGATAGTACCCTTCTACGGTGAGCCACCCATGACCTTCAGAGCTGCACACTGACACCTTTGTTCCTCGTGACCTATATGGGAACTAGACTTCTGTAAGGTAGCGAATAGAGCGAGTTGGTAAACGTTATACATAATGAAAACGGCTCAAACGACGACGACGGAGTGAAGACAACAAACGCGACATGACGAAGCTGTTCTCGTAACTAAAGTTTTGTTAGCGAAATTAACAAAACGAAAACAGTGTAGGCGACACTGACTACATTAACAAATACCTACTTATATATTAAACACAACAAAATATTTGGAGCTGAAACTGGTCCCCACACCGCTATTCATATTTGCCCGCAAAAAACAAACCTCTTTATCTGACAGCGCTACCGACGGCGCACTGTCAGCTATCAATAAATTGTTGCCTATTTTTTTCACCGGAGTACGATGTTCTGATTTCATACTTGCGGCTCCATTAATATACAGAATGGGTGATTACTAATTTCTGAGGAATTAGTAAATATTACCAATGATCTTCAAGAATATTACAAAAAAGAGGATATATTTTTAATGAAGTGACGAATGCGCCACGTTTCACGCAAAATCCGCTAAGTTAAAAAAAAAAATCGGTGAGCTTTTCTTCGCATTTGCTCAAAGGCCGGTGAGCTTTTCTTCGCATCTGACGGTTTTGCAATGAGCTTTTCTCCGGTGAGCTAATCTCCGGTGAGCTTTTCTCCGGTAAGCTTTTCTCCGCCGCCCGTTCACGGCTGCATCAGAAATGGCGCTACATTCCTGTCCTCCGACGTGGACACTCGTATTCTACGCAGGAGCGGCCGTGTTTTGCTACAGAAATTCGGAGCCAATGTCCACGTACGTGGACTCGGGGTTTGAGGGGGCTAGACCAATTTGCTGCATTTCATACATATGAATTTGCAGAAAAAGATCGCTGCCAATTATTTTAGCCTTTTTTAGATGGGTTGGGTTTTGCGAGGAAGTCTATGGCAACAAATAATTCGCCTAAACTCGAAACCAGCAAGAGGAAAAAATCATGAGCCATTCCACTCTGTGAAGTTGGATTACCAGCGAAGCTGTTTAGCACACGACACAGACGGGACACAGAAGTTTGAACAAAGGTAAGAACATATTTATTGTCTTGATCGGTGGTCATCGTGACGAAAGGTACGCACACATATTTATTGTTGTCTAGATCGGTGGTCCATGCATACTTCGCGTGTACGACTATCGCCGCCCCAAGGAACCGGAGAAAACTAGACACGCGCGACGGGACCGCCACACCGGGAGAACGGAAGGAAAGAAAACTAGGCACGCAATTGCTTGGAACGACGACAAAGAGAGGGCGGTGCGAGCGTAGACATGGCCGACACGGGTCGCACAGCAGCAAATCTGAGAAACCTTTATTATCTACCTGAGAGTCTACAAATCTTGAAAAGGATGCCTATTGATAACTAATCTACTGAATAGACCTATTGCTAAATTACCCAAGCATCGAGGAGAATGCAGGGAATGGTGTTCCACACGTCGCACGTGCTGGCCTCAGCAGTAGTAACTCTTCTAAAGCAAATACCTAAAACAAAGGGCATCTTGCACGCGCGTTCGTCTACGCTTTATTTTGGTTTACTTCGAATCTTTTACAGGGAAAAGGCGTGCGCGTGCGGGCGGTGCGAGCGTAGAAGTTTTGTTGACGCGCATGAAAAATCCACGGAACCCTAGCCATAAACAGCCTCGCTATAAAAGGCGCCGCAGCGTAAACCTTATCGCGGCCGCTTTGCCACCCTAAAACGTTAAACAAATTCGTGACAAGGACAAAAAAAAAAAAAAAAACGGCATGGGAGAGGGAGCATTTAGTTTAGCCAACTTTCATTGCGACCAGTTTACCTTTCACAATCTTTTTAACGTGTCGATCAAACAAATAACAGCAAAAAAGATATAAATTAAAATTACGAGGGGCGGTCATAAAACTAATATTATTATTGGCGGCAAAAAAAAAAAAGAAGCTATTGCCAAGCTTTTTGTTGCTTAAAAAACCCATATTCCAGCAGTCTCGACGTGTTCAAAAGCTTCCCCGCACAAATTTGCACATGCACAAATTTCCACGTGCAAAGTGATTTGCACATTCACAATGGTTTTCACACGATAAAGGCCACCCCCGCTGCATTCTACGATCCCTCACGCCATTACAAAAAGAGCGCCGAAAGGAATCTACAACATCGCGCTTTGCCAAGCTGACCCTGACTTCTCCGACATCCTAACCATCATGAATGATTGTTGGGCGTACCGCTACAATCATACGACGAAGCAATAAAGAAAAATGGAAGCACGCGGATTCACCGGTGTTGAAAAAAATAAAGGCGAAGACGCAGCCGTTAAAAGAAAAAAAAAAAGATTAGCTTTCTTTTTCTTTGGGGGGGGGGGGGGGGGGGGGGGATGGTGTACTCCCAGCAGATCATACCTGTAAAAGCCAAGCCTTCACAAGAAAATGTTACCGGAACCTTCTGACAAAGCTTACGGGAGGCCATCAAGCACTGCCAGAAGCCGCTCAAGGGCGTGTGTTCGCACTAAAGTTACTGGATCCAACGACTTTACACCAATCGGCCCATTCCGCGGAGCAGACGCTGACGCATGCGTTGCCACGTTTTCGGGTCGACGACGAGGCGATTGTCGAGGTGGAACACCCCCTTCCAAGGCCAAAACGAGATCTTTACAACCAGGTGTCCCACGCTAGCTCATCCACTGTTAGTAGAAGTGCGACGCCTTCTGTGCTGCCTGCATGGAGATAAACTAATGCCTCATCAAACGCTCTTGAACCAAGCTCGTTTTCTATTTATGGCAATAATAGTTTGTGTCAAAAATATGCGCTGAGCAACTGAGAGAGAAGGAGACTAATTGATGAATATCTCGACCCCCTTTGGCATTTCGAGAACCGTTTTGGTTTTCGAACTGCCGTCAATATTTCCATTGCAATGTAACCAATAATCAAAAAGGTAAATTACTAATCTTAGTTCATTAGCCAACTTACCGCGACGGTTATTTCTTCATCTAATGGACGCCGAGCCTGATAAATACATGAAGAGGGCACCCGTATAACTCTCACCCCTTAAAAAAATTATGCTCGAATTAAAATAAAACGCCTAATATATGTAATGCTTTATTTTCGCAACTCTGTTTCAGCCCTTGAAATCTGGCGACAAATGGTTCGGAATCTGAGAGGAACGATTTGCCAGTGCATTAGTGCAGCTAACCTCAGATCATATCTTGTATTGTTAAGTAATATGATGTTGAAAATATACAAATACCTAGCAGTTTCAAATAATACGCTATTCGCTACGAGATGACCTGCGATATTCGTATTTTTCCAAGTGTTGATCGCGGCTGGTTAGCCCCGTTGAGAGCGCTTCTTATCGAGCACTGGTGCACTGCGGAGAAGCAACACCGATGGAGCTAGCTTCCGCGGGTGTTGCTTTCCCGCAGTGCACCAGTGCTTGGCAAGAAGCGCGCTCAACGGGGCTAACACCGCCCATACGCCCCGATCCACACTTCGAAAATTACAAATATCGCAGTCACATACTCAGAAGAAAAGCACACTTTTAGAGCGGGGTGGTTTCACGCATGCGCCTGGTGTCTTTAAAAACAAACAAAAAAATGTGTGAATTGTGATACCTATATTGCTGTATTTTTTTTTTTTTTTTTTTAACTGTGGCTAATATGCGAGAGAATATGTTTGGCAAAGATGTCACGACAACCTGCGTTAATCACTCGTAGCTATATTTTTTTTATTTTTCAACTTCGAAATTGAACAAAATTAGCATATAGCACAAACATTTTTTTTAATCCACTCAATAAGGTATAGCTGGGCATCTCTATAGGCTTGATTTTAGGTCAAATGTGATGATTACTTACCATCTCAATCTAGGCATTAGATTTTCTTAATCTTACTATAAACCAATGCCTACATTGGTCTATAGTAAGATTTAAATTGGCTTAGAAATTTACAAGTGGAAGCTTGGGAACAACCTTCACGAGTTCAGCTGAGTTAAGCATGGAACAGTAGTGAAAGGATAAGAAGAACTGTTCAATATTCTATTCGAAAATATTTGGCCTAAAGTAACATTCACTTCAAACTCGAAATCCACCATTTGCACAAGCCTACTAAGTAGTGATTGTATATGATTGCACACTGGTATGCGATACTCATCCATATAAAAATGAAGGGAATCAGATACAGAACCTAGGATTGCTATGTTCAACAGCTTGAACTTTTGCTCCATGCGCTCCAAGATGCAGTGCACCAACACATTCGGCCATCAATCTCTCAAAATAAGACAATGGTATACTACATGGCTTCCAACCAAAGTGCTCGGTGGGTTTAGACAGAGCATTTATTGACTGTGTAAGAATCGAGCTGACCTCATCTATGATGCGGCATGATTGAACTGCTCTTTAACGGTGAGAAGTGATGTTGTGAGCCCACTGTTGAATGGTGAATGATTAAACAACACTGATTCAAGCTTTTTATCTACGATCGTCAGTCCTATATGGACCGCGAAGAATGTTCCTCGAGATCGTGGCTCTCTTGCACGGATTCTTCATCAATGTTTTCGTCGGAGTCTTCGTCGTCGACAAGCTCGAAATCTCTGAGCTTACTTAAATATGAAACTACCTCTTCGGGAGGATCGGCATCAAGATCCATATCTGAAAAGAAAAAAAATAGGCCACACAGCTTTTACTCTCAGTCTACTTTTGTCTGCACTCATTTGTGTATTTACCATACTTCTATGTTTCATGAGGCTAACCTGAGCACTCACTCTTTTCCTAGATAGGAGCACTTCTTGGTCGTGATCTTTTAAATACTGCCACAAAGACTTCATGAGTTTCCCTTCATAGTTTCTGTCTTCCATGTCAAGCTGAGAAAACACAGTTTGCTCAGCATGATTCCACTGTAGTATTCACAGTGAAATCATGCATAGTATATTTTTTTAGAAACAGTGGCATTGTGATTTTGAAATTTATAACAAACTCTACCTCCAAGAAATCAAAATTATGTAACTTCCTTTATTATTTATTTAAAGTTACTTTGTAGCTCCAGAAAGCCTGAATTTTATTAATGCAGTTAAAAAGACAGAGAATCACAAAATAGCAATAAAGAGACAGACGAGAAGAGCTGATAGACCTTAGGCATCGCAAAGACCTAAGACCTTTTTTTCTTCTCTCTGTTGCCTAAACTAAAGTTTATAAAATGATGAAAAAGACAAAAAAAAAAAACAGTTGCATATCGCTGAGCACTTAACCAGTTGGTTCACATCACCGTCTAGTCAGTGTTTATTTTTTAACAGTCAAACATAATTTATGACAAAGTGAAGGTTAGACCACTCAATAGTGTTACCTAGAACCATACCCTGTAAAATAGTGCATAAACCGCTGAAAGGATAGTGGCAAAGTTGTTGCAGACAAAAAATGCAATGGATATAGCACTGATATCAACGAACAATCATGAGAAAGACATCCCTGCTGCTGTCCATCGAGTACAGCAGAACCATAATCAGGTTTTTTTTACATTGCGAAGATACGGATTATCAATAAAGGTCACGCATGACTGTTGGTGATATTTCCAGTCTAGGGATTTTGCTACACCTCCCTTAGGGGGATGTACACACCCCCTTGTTTTTCTGAAGGCACTTCCTTAATTTGCAACGACTCCTCTATTCTCAAAGCGCCCCCCCCCCCCACCCCCACCCTCACCCCCTAAAAATTTAGACACCCCCCTAATTTCAATTCATGGGGAAACCCCTGGTTTATACAACTGTTCAATTTCAAGAACTACTACAAAAACCTACACAAGTTATGACACAAGGCAATGTGATGTCACACTATGGAAGGTAGTTTTAATGCTAAAGCTACTACAATACAGAATTTTCAGTAAAGATATTGATACTGTAGCGAAAATATCATTAGAAAAAAGAAAAGAAAATGCCAGGGTAATCTCGAGTACTGTGCTAAAAAAACAGACCAGTCTCGTCCAACAATGGTTGCCACTGACACACCAACCATGCATTTATCTACTCTTCAACGAACTGCTCTACAGTAGAACCTCGCTAAAGGCAGTATTTTTTTCACAAACAAATCTTTAACACCTCAATATTTTCACTATTATCAATACCTCAAATGCCTGTACCAGTAGCAAAAATGTATACTTCAACTTTTGTTTACTAGCAATTTTTAGATCCGCATCTTTACTAGATGATAGTCTTCCTCATAATGAAGTTCCAATGGATACTTTGGATAGTATGTCAGGACCATGAGAACACCGACACAGTCTAAGTACTGGACGATAAAAGAGACCTCTAAAACAGTACCGCATTTAGTACAGTACAGACGGCTTTTAGGCTATACATGCTAAGACCTGCTTGCAGTGGAACGAAAAACTGGACATGATTCGGGCGAGCCTGAAAAGCAGCCAACTTACGGGCAGGGTCATATTCAATGTTGGTCAGGTAGAGTCCGCAGGCGGGAGCGATGCGAACCTTGTTGTCCCAGCTGTCCTTGTGCGGGTTTTCGAGCATGTGCCGCACCAGCGGCAATGACTCCGGGTGCATGCCCACGTGCAGAACCACGCTTACCATGCGGCGCACCTGCGAATGGAGGGTGTCAGACGAGCTGCTCTCGTACTAGCGCCGGTCTTGCAGCATGCAGGCTGTTTCACACACTTGCAATTGCTTACGACTGGGTGCCTCAAAACTTCTTAAAATCTCCTATGACCAGAGAGCACACTGGCGCCATCTATCGGGTGGCCATGGAACACTTACAGTTTCAGTATATTTCCTACTTTTTTTCATGCATTAATCTTTCTTTCTTGGCACGGAAAACTTCCTACATTGTTGTAAACGAGCGTTTTTTCATAAACAGTATGTATGTTTGACCTTGCAAATAACACAAATAACTCTAGTGAAATGCAGTTCCAAGGTCACCCCACAGAGGGTGCCAGCATGCCAGGTCATTCTTTCGTCCCAAGAAATCGCAAGAACTCGGTCCTAGGTATACGCAAGTGTATCAACGAGCCTTAAGAGCTTGTGATTCAGGTGCAATCACTTGGAAGCAAAGGGTAGCACATGGAAGACCACTTATAGCCAAGTGCTGACACTTGGCAGGCCACTTAGGCCATCACTTGTGGTAAGTGGTGCCACTTTAAAAACTCCTTGTGGCTAGTAATAATACTAGAAAGTATGCAATACCATTAAAGACCTCTTCTGGCTAGTGATTACAATAGGAAGTAAGTGATACCATTAAAGACACTCTGTGGCTAGCAATAATGTTTGAAAGACGGTGATATTGCTTGGAAGTCTTCTTGTGGACTGTAGTACCACTTGGAAGACTGCTTGTAAGAGTACTTGAAAGCAAGTGGCACCTCTTGACAGACCATTCAGTATATTTAGTATTAGTGGAAGAGCCACATTCTTCTAGCACTCTTGTGGCACAATTCTAAAGCACTCAAATAATGATTGTCAGTGATGGCAAGTAAATTGAGGCAAAACTTTTATCAAGACACCTCAGTCACAGTCATTCGTTCATGCAACCTGGTGGAGTTTACGGAATAGCTAAGTATGTTTAAGGAGAGGTCTCGTATACACGAGCAATGAATACATGGGCCCATGGGCGATATCCAGTTTAGTTTCTCGTCAGTTGCATGCCATTTCCTCCATTTCTAAAGTCCCGTATATTGCCGAAATACGACAACACCCTGTGAGTTGCACGAGACGAACCTGCCTGTAGAGGAAAGACCTCGACTTGATGTGGAATTCCCAGAGGTCCACATTGTCATAGAGCGGGTCCGCGACGGCCGAAGCTGGCTGCGATGGCCGCAGAGTGAAGTCCAACACGTTGCGCACGGTGTTGACCTCGTCTTCGGCTTTGGTGCGCCCGACATTCTTGAAGGTGCGGAAGTCATGCTCCCCACTGAGCAGCTCCATGGCCTCATGTACCCGGGAGAAGTCCAGAGGCCTGCACAGGGGCATGCACGTCTGGGATGGCTCTTACGAAGATCGCCATTGCCGGCTATTGTTGTTTACAACATGACACACATCGGTTTCCCTAGCACAAATTCGCTCACTCACTCGTTCGTTCATTCACCCAGAGAGTCAACAGCATAACACAAGAACTAAAAATAAAAAGCAAAAATTAAGACTTCTTTTTGCTGCTATAAGACACTGAAGACACTAAGACACCTACACTATTTTCAGCTGCACCAGCACTAAACCTTCCCTAAAGCGGTTGAGATTCACCTTACGACTGATTTGTAAGTGCCGTATTTGCTCTTGTAAATAAGAGAGATGTGAAATGTCACGAATTGTTACAGATCTGTACCTCAATTTGCATTGAGTCCTTTGTATTACCAATGTCTGCTATAATAACAAATCCGAAAAGGAATTTGCAGTATCTTGGAATAAAATAAGTAACAGCAACAAAGTGAGCTCTCGGAGGCCTCAAGCGTTAAAAACCCCTGGTGAGCAGTCGCATGCTGCACTGGCCACGTCGCACCTCTAGAGTAACCTTAAACTCTTTCGATTGATGCCTGAGGAACTTTTCCTTAACTCGGCACTGATGCAATAAAGCAATTTTGTGTAAATAATTATATACCCAATTGCCACTATTTGGGCCCATAGTTATGCATCAATGGTTGGCTCATGCCTGCTAAAATAATGTCCAAACTTGGAAAACACTTTACTTCGTGGTAGGGATGATGGAGGAAATCTGGGAGCTCTAGAAACCTCTCTGAATGTTCTGGGGAACTCCTGGGTCCCCAGGAACTAAGTTGGAAAACCTACGCTCTACGGCAATGACTCGGAGCTCTGTTTCTGAGGCAACCTAACTCCATGCCGTCCGAACGTCCACATGCAACAAAATATCTGCTGCCGGGACCGACGAAGGGGGTGGTTCTCATTTGAACCCGTTCGCGTTTCTACCTTCTCGTTTGTACCTTCTCATTTCAACCCAGCGCAAAACAACTTTCGCGTTTCTCCCTTTCTCATTTAAACCGTTCTCAAAACAAACTTTCGGGTTTGGACCCTTCTCAAAACGACTTCTCTCATTTTAACCTTTCTCATTTCAAATTTTCTCAAAACATACTTTCTGGTTTTGACTATTGTCAGAAAGACTTTTCTCATTTTAACCTCTCTCATTTCGAACCCAAATTAATCCAACATCATGATCTCGCAATCTTTCTGCGGTATTTATGGCGAATTCGGGTAATTAATTGCCTTCGAGCCCTTGCCTGTGGCACCGGCGACCAAAAACGCGCCAGCGGCGCATCACGTGACCCTCTTCACCCGAAGGCAAAGCACAATGAACTGGCGTTTTTATTTGACTGGGTCGCGAGTGAGCTCTGTTAACTTCTTCTTCGATGATTCTATGGTACCATGAGCACGCTGCATACGAAAACATAAACTACGACTCTTTGAGATGTGTGTAAACAGAAGCGGCTACACAAAACTTTTCAAAATACTATTGGTATTACCACAGTCCGTACAGCTGACAGAATATTAAAATATAAAATCAATGAAAGGGAAGATGTATAAATCAGTGTGGTGCTGCCCGCACGCGCGTCAAATTTCAATAAACTTCGTTTGGATTTTCGATTAACTGTTGCCACAGAGGCTTGCCAACGTCGTTTTCCATATTCTGTTTACTGTTAGTAGAGAGATTTAGTAAATCGTTCCCATGACTCCGATAACGGTACCCGATACTCCGCCACCGCCTCCCTTGCGCATGCATAGTATCGTTATCGGGGCTATCGGGGGTATCGGAACGGTCTACTAAAACTCTCTAGTACCTTTTTTGGAATCCTCAGTCTTCTCATTGCACCCACCCTCCTTGAAATTGTAATGAGTGTTCAAGTTTCAAACTGCATCACTATGCATACTTTTTTTTCAGCGGTGTAATAACTTGTTATTACAGAGTTGTAAAATAAAGTGATGTATGATGTAGCCCGTGTCTCAGAGCAAACATACCTTGCTCAGGCTAGACAAATTCTTCCAAAAATGTTGACTTTCTTTGAAACATAAATTATATTTCTCTTCGTTGTTTTTGCAATCTTGTCTCACAGCACAAAGGGGTGCCTGTCTCGATGGCTTCGTTTGCCACTCGAACCCGCTATTTGCCGCCTCAGCGAGCATTGTTTCGTTTGGTTCCCTATCCCGATTCAGATGTAACGATACTGGATACAGACTGGCAGACAAGCTGCCCGACCTCTTGGAGCTCGGGAAAACTTCTGCTGGTAAATTGCCGGTACACGCCTGAGAAGCGCAACCCGAAAAGCTTGCACCCGCCAGCCTTTGACCACGCGAACGCCCTTGCCGAAGATACGGAAAAACTTTTTTTCAGGGAAAATGAACACCCAAATTGGCCATTACAAGCAATAACACAAGACTAGCACAATGATCCATCCGCTCCACACGACTACATCTTACGACATACAGCGACAGAAGATAAATGAAGTACCGAATCTGCGCTAGCACTTTTGAAACCACGTCACCATGTGACCACGTAGCTACGTCAACAGACTCGGGGTGGAACGCAGGCGTAAGGAAAATTGTTTCATGCGCTATGCAAAAAATGGTGCCGCTTCGCTTCATCTTCAACCTTTATCCTTAACTGTTTTTCCTTTCTCTATACCTCACTACGGTGTTCAAATGACAACAGGTTCAAATGAGAAAGGGTCGAAACGCGAAAGGTTAAAACGCGAAGGGCGTTTTGCGAATGGGTTCAGCCGAGAAGGGTTCAAATGAGACGGGTGTAAATAAGAAAGGGTAGAAACGCGAAAGGTTAAAACGAGAAGGGTGTTTTGCGAATGGGTTCAAACGAGAAGGGTTCAAATAAGAATGGGTTGTTTCGAGATACACCCGACGAAGGAGGTCCTTACGGGACAGCGCAGCAGGAGTTGATCTCGTTCAGCGGCAAGAGGTGGCGTATGGTGGTCCCCAGAACGGTGGATTGTTCGAGGACATGAGGCCGCAGGACGGCCACACGGTAGACGTAGCTTCGCGACTTGGCCAGGTAGCGGGCGTGGAACCATGAAGGCACGGGAAGCACCTCTCGGACTCTGATGAAAGCAGCAAGAAGACAGAGCTGGTAAGTAGCACCTTGTGCTCAAAGTATTGGGTCTGCCCAAGAAACCATTCAGAGCTTTTCTGCTGTGCGTTGATGAAACGTGAATCACAGAATGTCGAAAGTCCACCAGAAATTTCAGTCCTGGAGTAAAGCCAAGGTTCAAAAGTTTTTGCTTATTACGCTACTTGAATAAAAAATTAAAAGTGATCTCCTCGAAATTTTTTACTCACAGGGCCCTTCAACGGGCTACTTGATACCGTGGCTCATAAATAGCATTGGATATCGGTTCTAGATAATGGCAGCTCCACATAAAAATAAATGATATTGCAATCAGTTTTCATTGCGCTCACAACTGTTAAGAACAAGAGGATACAAAGTAAAATGAGCATATTAAAAAGTACTCAACTTTAGTTGTTGCCTCTGATGAAGTTCACTCAAAGTGTATTTTAGTCAATGAACTTTTTGTACATCAATTAGAGTACAAAACCACCAAGTTACTTTGCGCTCTCCCCCTAAACTCCAAGGGGAGAGATGAACTGCTTGCTTGTCCACCTACAGCTCCGGAGCTAATACGAGCATGATGCATAATGCAACAACATGGTTGGGTATACGGGCCTTTTGTTTCAAAGTAAACCCTAATAACGGAAATACTGTTCAATATAACTGTTAAATGCTACATAAATACTCAGATTTGCGAATATACGTCAAACGGGGAAATATCCAAAGAACAGACAGATATCTGGACCCTCTGCAAAATAAAAAGCCCAAGGTACCTCGAACTGCTCCCCTCGCCTAAAGAGGGATAGGGTAGTTTGCATTTAATATGCAGTCTGATCCATTGACTACTAATGAACAGTATTGTACCTGCTGCAAGGGGATTGGTTAGTAATGCTGTGGGCTTCAAATATGGTCAAGCTATTCTATGTGGAAGCTTTTTATGAAACCATCAGTAGCATTGCCACAGCGACGTAGCTAAGCTGTTTGGAGCCTGCAAAGCTCACTGCCATGCTGCAGTTCACCTCCATGCAAACATAAAGTGAGTGCACCACCTCGAATGAGGATTCCTCCTCTCAAAAATTCAGTAGTGGAAGTACTTCCTGAGCAACACATGTTTGGTAGCAGCCTCTAGTTCCTTTGTCCCCATCTCAAAGCGAAGTGCCTGGATGCACTCAGCGAGGACGAAGCCCATGATGGTCACTCAGACTCACACAATGTCGTGATCCCTGCGTGCAAAGTGCCTGTTGAGGACGCCGAAGATTTGCAGGGGCTGGTAGCGCTGTGCGGTGTTTGCCGGAACGAGGTCCACATGCCCAGCGCTGAGAGAGGCGTGCACCCCGGTGTCCGTGCGGCTGGCGAGAATTAGTACCGGCTCGCTCAGCGGCCTTAGGTTGCGCAGCGCCCCCTGCATCGACCAACCAGTATTTTAATCTGACTCTTGTAGTGACGACCAAAGGTTTCACGTAACTGCATTTGTTAGTAATGAAATCTTAACATAAATGCAGTTGTTTAAAATTTTGCAACTCCAGATCAATCTTACAATGCACGAAAATAAAATAAAAAGAATGACGCATAAAAAAATAGGGAATGTACGGAGCTATGAAGTGTTCCACGGCCACACGACAAATCGCACTAGTGACTTTTCTCATTGTAAAAGAATGTCAAGAGGCTCTAAGGAACTAGGTTGTAAGCAGTCGCTAGTGTGCAAACTAGCCTCGAGTCACAGCCCCATTAACGTCCGTTTTTCTTGAAAAAGTTGGTACATAAAAGTCACCTTTCTTGAGCTGCATGCACTTTTTTAAGATGGAAGCTGGGGCGAGTTGGTGAGAGTTTATATTAGTAAAAACAGCACATAATAAACAGGGGCAAAAGAAGAGAACTCATTGAAAGGCAAACACAGTGCTGACCATGACCTACTGTAATCCCGACCTGCCCACAGAATGGCTCCCCATGGGAGACGCTGCCGCCGATGAAGTGCCTCGCTTTGCCGTTGGGGGCGCTCAGCAAAGGCTTTTCTGTGACCCAAACTCAGTTCACAGCCTACCTGTCTAGCGCACGGTCCGCAGAGTGCACGGCTGGTGATATCTGATTACTGTTTTTCCAGAACACCTGCCGTAGAGGGACGCCAGCAGGCTGCAGTAGCACACTGCAGCAGGATGCATCGCCGGATTTGCTCTCATGTTTGTTTGGATCGAAAGAGCGTATTTCTTAGGCACGGGCGCGCAAGGGTGTTTTTAGCCCTGATTGCTCTCGTGCCAGCATCAAAATAAGGCACGTTCTCGGATCACTCATAAAAAGCCACTGTGCTGGCAGCCGAACCTGTCATGAGCCCACTGACTGACGAGATCCCGCGAGGAGAGCAGGTCAGGACCAGAAAACGCTGCCGTGCCTCGCGTGCCTTTGTTTGATATGTGGATACCCTAGAAAACAAAAAGACCTTCGTGCAGCACCGTGAAGTCATAGCGTGAGGAAACACAGCGCCCGTGGCCTGTACAACAAGGTGCGTGCTGGCACGCCCTTCTGTGGGCAGGTCAGGATTACAGTAGGTCATGGTGCTGACTATCAATTCACATTTCCTCTACTTTTTTGTATAAGCAGGACCTAGGTATAAAGAAAACGAAAAAAAACCTGGAAATCTTAACTCAATACACTGACTGCTCTGCCAAGTACTATAGTTGTTTGGCAGATAAGGAAATGGAAGGGGCGCTGACAAACTTGTCGTTGATTATGTTGCACTATCTTCTTGGCCTCATTAATTTCTCTAATTATTGAAGCCGAGAAGATCACACGACTCGATAAGTGCATCAGCGCCCCTTCCGTTTCCATAACTGCCAAAGAACTATACTACTTGGCGAAGCAATCTGGGTAATGAACAAAAATTTCAATTTTTTTTTTTACCGTGGTTTTGCTTTACACAAAGTAGAAGAAACATGAGCTGATAGCCAGCACATGTGTCTGTTTTTCTATGTGTCCTCTCCTTTAATCCTTGTTTATTACACATTGTTGCTACTAATATGCACTTTTTGTATGGTTGGTGCTGCAAAATTACATTGATAAGACTACATTTGTGTATTGTAATTGCGATATACACACAAATGGGAGCAGCCAGTTTATCAGAGCTCGTCCCGGCGCTGTAAAAAAAAAATTTATATAAGTTGTACAAGACATACCAATGGAAATTTGGGGAAGAAACTGCAACTCGTGCGCCGGAAAATATGGCAATAAATTAAAATGAACGCTACCTGCACTTGGCATTTTGAAAAATAAAAAAAAATGGGGCAGCTGAAGACATCAAGATTCTTCATTTTGATTTTAATGAGCTATCCAGAAAACTACTCCCATAAATCAGTCACCGAATGCATTCTAACCTCGGAACCTGTGAGCCAGGAGTGGAGCATGGAGGGATTTTGCTTTCCACTGATTCCTTCAATACATAACGTGGCAGTACTCCACAATGAGGCGCTTCGAGTTTCGAAATAAGTCTATCGCCTGCACTTTTTTTTTTGGAACCATACTAGATCGAGTAATGTGCTTGAAGGTACTAATTGTCAGCAAATAAATCAGGTGTAATATTTAAAAACTATATATACCATAGTAGACACTTTGTTTACTTGGCTATTCCAATTTGCATAAAAACATGGTTATAAAGTGTCGCTGAAGTGCCATAGACCTTTGTGACATTGGGTAGGGAGGATACTGGGCTCGAAAGGGTTTTGTCACAAATCAACGGTGTCAGGGTACCGAAAGATTTGTTTAAATTAGAGTTCATAATATTTCTACAAGCTACCTTTAGAAGGTATTATATTACAATATGTACAGGCTCGAGTAACTTGTTGAAACTTATTTATATGGAAGTACTGACAAAGGGAAGCAAGCGTGGGATCCCGAGACGAGAATTCACGTGTTTGAGGCCTGGCCATAAACGAACGATTCCAGAAATTTATTATGTCTGGAATATCTGTACATAAACACTGCTGATGACCTTATTCTGCCAACGACCAGTCAGCCGTTCTTATGACATAACTAAGCTTCCACCAGATGCACAAGAAAATGGAAATAGCCACACTGCAAACTGCAAATTGCCCCCTCAATAAAAGCGCACCATTTTTCTGACATTTTAGAATGCGACACCGAAAAACACACACTTATCTAACCACACACAGGTGTTTGGAAATGAGCATTAGAAACCCTTTCAGTCTTTACAAACGCAGGGCATCTCCTTGCTAGGACACTAAAGTGCTACAGAAATGACAAAGTTGGAAACTTGGCAAGGTAGTTCTGCTTAGCAGTCGGACATATATGAGGTAATTGGTTACATTAATTACATGAGTAATAAAATATTTCCAACAAACCTCTCGCTAAGCGATCCCTTAACTATCCAGGATAAATGATAATAAACTATTTCATAGAGGTTTCAAGCAGTGGTGTCATGATGGGGCTTGTTCCTCCTCGGACGTTTGCAAGGACGCAAAAAAGAAATGGCGTTGCTGCCCTGAGGTAAAAAGAGTACCTAGTATATATATAATCTATTGAATTAACCTTTTGCAAAAATATAGCGGTTTGACAGCAAATGAATTTTGTATCACCCTCTTTGTTTTGGTCGAGCCAAGGGGCAGATGGCATCTTTGAAGCAACCACAGGATGAAAGATATGATGAGCCAGGAGGGAAGGTGTGACAATCGTACGTGCGAGAAGTCCCGCTTCCTGCAGAGCAGAGTGTAATCTATGTGCAGGCAAAAGTGTCACCTCGCTCTTCTAGGGCTAGAAGAGCTTTAGGAGGGCAATGCCTAGGAGTTTTAGATATGCGTATGACGAGGGCGTTGCAGCAACACTCCTCCCATACAAAAGATAATTCACAATCAGAACAATGTACCTAGCTCATGGCATCTCCATTAGTCAATGAGATGTAGCGAATGCGTTCGCAGCCTGAGGGTGCTCGTCTTCTAGCCATATATGCTGAACCATACTGCTAAAAATGGTGCACGACTGGCATATGCAGACCTCTCCTGTGAAGGTCAAGCCTTTGCTTTTTGTGGGTGGCGTCTTTCTCATAGATTGTAAGCAATTTACTATAGTTCTGCTACTAGATGCAATAACCTAGTAGCACTCGGAACACCATGTGAAACTGACCTCAATGGCTCCCTGGACGGTCCAATTCTCCAAGCAGGGTCGACTGCTTTGTCGCTGCATGCCTCTGTGAGGAAAGCATATATCAACTCATGTTTCCGTCTTCACATCAAGGCAGGACAGCCGGGCTGCAGAGCATCCACAGATGCTTGGAAAAACAAATTTCTACAATCAAACTAATATCACCATCACTAGATGCAGCACCGCGGACCTTTATTGTTCTGGCTGTTCCCTTTCTGTGGCGCTGCGACTTTCCTGAGCCAATAAGGATTATTATTATTATCATTATTATTATTATATGATGTTTCTTTTCGCCCAGGCTCTCGGTCGGTTTCTTGGGATGCCTTGTTTTTGGTGGATTACTTACAAGAAGGAGCAACAATAACGGGTTCTTACTATGCGAACCTAATTACAAAATGATGCACAGCAATCAAAAAGAAACATCATGGAAAGTGGAGACAGGGAGCGCTACTTCATTTGGACAATGCAGCCAGCCTCAGGTCTCGCGTTGCAATAATGCCATTCCTAAATAAAGGTTTGGAAATGCTGGAATATCCACCCTATTCACTGGATCTGGATGCCGACTTAGCTGCCTTCGTCTCCACTGCACTCGCTGAACGCGTTCGAATGCGAAAGCGAAACGCCAGATGCTCGCGTTCCACATTCTAGCGCGTTCGAAGAGTGCAGTGGAGGCAAAGGCTTTGAGTTTACCCGCTCTAATCATTCCAACCCGAGCTCGGCGTTCCCACATCCCCGCGAGCTCTCGTCTCCACCTCTCGGACAGTTTTAGGCCGCATAGGATTGCTGGGACACGTGATTTCGACTTCAAGATTACGTCAAAGATAACGTAGGATCCACATTTTATTCCAGAAATGGGTCAGAGGTGGAACATAGGGATAAACCCTCATTTATATACAGGGTGTCACAAAAAAAAAATTTACACGGTCTTTTTTACCGCAAAAATAAACTAGGCATCGCCGAACGCCCATTCTCCGCCCAAAGGTAGCGCTAGAGGTCACAACCAGATGCCAAAGTTTCAGCCCGATCCGATAACTTAATCAAAAGTTATAAGTGATTTTCTGGAAATTTCAATGGGAAAATGGTGGCCAACGGAGTTTTCAAACACATGGGGCTTTATGGCACCCGAAACCGAAAACGGGCAAAAATAGGCTCCATTTTCCCATTGAAATTTTCAGAAAATCACTTATAACTTTTGATTAAGTAATCGGATCGGGCTGAAACTTTGGCATCTGGTTGTGACCTCTAGCTCTATCTTTGGGCGGAAAATGAGTGTTCGGCGATGCTTAGTTTATTTTTGCGGTAAAAAAGACCGCGTAAATTTTCTTTTGTGATACCCTGTATATGCTGGACGGAGCTTCAGTGGCGGGTTTCTCTTCCGTCTGGACGGAAGCGCAACTCTAGTGGTGACATGGTGACCGCCGGCCCCAGTAAACTCTCTTCTCGCTTAAATCAACTTTCTGTTGGGAAGTCGATATCGCATGCGCTTCGATTGCGAAAACGCAGCAGATGCGCTAACGTTTTGTCGTTCCAGGCGTGCCAATAACTCACCTGTATCTTGTACCCAGGTACGAGAACTTTAGGAGATACCTCGACGACATGTCTTAAAACCACATAAATAAGTTACGACAATATTTTTACAGGCAGAAAATAGCGCGAGCGATATGTTCTGCTATCGGTTCACCTATTCTCATATTTTAAAGTGTTGTTTGATGAGATATCAGAGGCACACAATGAAAAAGCACAAATAGTCCACATGTCATCCACGCCATCGACTGGGTGCCGCCATTTTTAAAATGTTTTTATTCAGGTTGCCATCTACCACTTTAATACCCAGTCGAGAAAACAAATTAAGCGATTTTATTCATTCAATACGACGAAGTGCTTTATTGTTTTCTAAGATTTAAAAAATAATTTAAGTGACTAAAATAATTTTACGGCAGCGGTCGTAAGCGTCTCTTCATTGCAGACGCAGCAAAGTAGGTGTGAACTCCGCTAGATTCTACCGGTGCCTTGTGCTACTACGTGGCGTTTTACACACAGATCGAAGCCCGAGCGCCCGAAGCTTAATCTGTGCCACTTAGGCCTATCTTCGGAGGATTATTGCTGATTAGAGGTAACTTCTCGTCTCCTTCAGCCCCCCTTGCTCATTAAATTCGCTCGATAGACGCCTCTCGTTCCTTTGGAAGCATCCTAGAACGAGCGAGAAAATGCCGAAGCTACGTGGGCTGCGTCGGTGCCGGTCGGCCGAGCTCAGGGATAACAGTTTTTACTCATTTCGTAGCGTGTCGATGACGGAGAGTTGGTCACAGCTCGCCTGAAAAGTGTTTTTCACCTGTTGATCAAATAAGTGCCAGGTTTCGATCAGGGAGGCTAGTTTTTCCTTAATGTGTATCCCTCGCTGCTTGTCGTGGCCACTGTGTTAACAAGTGACCGGTGCCGCTGACAGTACGGTCCTAACCAGCGCTGTTTCGTCCCTTCCCCAAGTGCCGGAGTGTCAGCCGTCAACACGGGGACCTCCATCACACATCTTCCAAGATGATGGAAGGCGAAGATTCGGGCCGGCCGCAGCCGTCAGCGCTCACGTTATTCTTCAGGAACGCTTCCCAGGTGAGCCCGTGCCAAGGAGCAAAGAAGTTGTCGTCCTCTACACGTGTAACGCATGATCCTCCGTTGACCTGTGTGCGAGATTCAACGGGTTCTCGGCCAGGAAACTCCCACTGCGCGACACAGGGGGCGCGAACACCATATAGGCGCATTTTCCCATGTGACTCGTAAAGTATAGCGGCCATCACAAATTTTTAATGAAAGCATTAAAGGGGTGCGGAAAAGAAATTCCAGCTCTCATTTTCTACCTTAAATGTGTTGCATGTTGCATCATAACTTCAAAAACACCAGTCTTTCGTGGAAAGGCACCAGGAAACTTAATTTAAAGCTAGTTAAACCATCTTTCAATGTGTACCTGCTGGATGCCTGTGAAGCTTAGTTGGGAAGTCATCTAGCAACGTTGGGAAGCTTGCTTTGTAGCCGCACTAAACATCAGAGCAGCACCACTCTTTGGAAGTATGCTCAACTGTTGTAAGTTGCCTCGGCCTGAACGTGATTTTGAAGCCTTTGCCTTTTATGAAGGAAGCCAACAAGATGCCATGATGGGCTCGTTGAGGAATGTCACCGAGTTGTTCCTGTGACTTTGCTGTACAGTTCCAAGCCTTTCTGTACTTTTTAATTTCGAGACGTCGCCGCGCTTCTGTGTGGCTGACATCTGTGGTAACGACTTGGTCAACAGCGATATGCTGATCAACAAGTTTCCAAACGACGAGAACTTCATGCCCTGTGAATCGGGTTTGCTTGTCCATTGTTTTCAACGTGGGTTCCAACACCTGCTGCTCGCTTTCCGAAATGAATACAGAGAGGGCGGTGGCGGTGTCTTCATCCTCACTTCTGCCATTCAAGAAATCGTCCTGAAGCGCCATTGGAGTGGGCCACACAAACGCGACACGCACGACTGATCTCACATGTGAAACGCTCGTCATCAAAAGGCTCGGTTGTAACGCATTGACGCTGTTTACGCCACCACAACGCTGACGACGCCACCAACGGAAAAGCAAAACCCCGCCAGCCTTGCTACTCTGTCAGCAATGCGAGAAATTTTTTCTTTTTTTTTTTTGCGTATGATATTTTATGACGCATTGTGCTCTCCGTTCGCTTCTCTTCGAGCGCTTGCTCGAGTGCGCCGTCTGGAACGAAAAGTATAGCCAGTCGTTCAAAATACAAACGTGTGATTATCATTTAGTTATTATCTATCATGCTTAAAGGGGCGGTGTAACAATTTACGGACTTTGGCTAATTAATTGCGGGAATTGATCCTGGCCACATATAAAACGAAGGACCGAAAACTATTCTTTCCTGCTTGCCCTAGTTTTCATTAAAAAAAATAAAAGAAATTGGTATCTCTGGCACCCCTCAACTCAACATTGAAGCGGCACCAGCTTCACCTGTGACGTCATTCGGAGTGGCGTTGGCTTCCGGTTGGGTTCTTCTGGCTCCCGTTTCCCCAGTGCTCGCCGGCTCGCCAGGCTCGCCGCTCTCCCGCTCTCCCGCCGATTCCCGACCAACATGGCGGTATGGGCGGACGGCCTGAGCGACGTCGAGCGCAAGATGCTTGCGACGCGGCGGGCAGTCGAAGTCGAGGTCGAGACACCAGGAACAATAACGATACCACGATACTACGGACCACGACCAACGCACTCCGTCGAGCGAGGGAAAGACAAAACGTCCGGGTTGCTCGTGTAGCCGCCGTAGGCGCCTCGGGCGTCGACAGATGTCGGCGACGGCAGGTTTTGTTGACTTGCGGTAGATGGCGCCACAAATAATTCATACCCTTTTAGCGGCAATATTAGGCTTTTGAAGCGTTTCTGCATGCCTAAACAACAAGATTTTTTAAACTTAACCTTAAATCAAGCTTACAATTGCCTAACACTACCACTTACAAAAACCACTCCGAATGACGTCACACCACAGGTTCCATTTGCGGCCACCATGTGGCCGCAGGTTGGGAAAAAAAGTGTTTTTTATTTTACGATTACGCAGCGAAATAGAGGTATTTTGGGGTATGGTGGCACTTTTTCTCTCACTTATGCCGAAGTAAACAATATAAAAAATACAAGCTGTGGATTCGTTCAGTGTTAAAATCATTGCACCGCTCCTTTAACTAATTTTCGAACGAAATTTGTATATTTCAATGTTTGCTTCTGTACCCCTTTAACTGTCCCATAGAGTGAAGCCAGCAAACGGCACCTAAATTCCCATTGGCTGCGACGCACCATGTGGCTCTATAGTAACGGCGTCATTGTTGCTAAGGGCCAGCCAGACTGCTGGTGGCACAGCGTAAAGATTAAAAACACGTTAAAAATTTCTCTGTGAGGTTCCTGTTAACAAAGTAAATTAATGGCTTTGAAAATAAAATTTCATACATTTTGGTCTGGTTGGGAATCGAACCCGGGCCTCTGGGGTGCAAGACGGGCATGCTCTCCAAAGCCACGGCAGCTCCACGGTTCTCGCTGACTAAAGCTGTGCCTAGTGCGTGCGTCATGCTTTCGCATTCTCACATGTAAGCAGTCTTAAGCGTCTCTGCTGAATTTTTCGTATTTGACCCAAGTAAACACATTTCCTACTGGTGCTTTCGACAACAGCCTTTTCAGTTCGGAAAAAGAAAAAAAAAAAGGAGGGGGGGAAACTGGCAATCGCTTCCTCGTGCTACCTGTGTTGTTGCACAGTGCACCTCGGGTGACTGTCTCAGTATAAAATATTTGTGTTCATTGTTTGCAAACTCTCGAGTGTATGTGTGCAAGTGTGTGGCGGTATGGATTGTAATTGGATGTGGATATCTTGCCGGCAGCTGGCACAAGAGGCCGGGAACAAAATTGCCGGCGGTTGAATTGGCCAGCTACAATCGTGCGACTACCACCTGCATATTTCTGCAGGAAATATGCCAGCTGCAAGCAAGATCGGTTTGGAAAAAAAAATTCTGGCAGTATTATACACCTGTTTCATGGTTTAGGCTCTAGACTCTGCATGTTCCCATTGCTTGCACTGCTTCGCCAATGTTTTACAAGAGTTTGTTCCAAAAAGCTTTGAATTACTCGTGAAACAGGTGCCAAATCCACGGGCCCTAAAAGCGGCACATGTGACACTCGCTGCCGCGTCGTAGAAACTAAGCAGGCGTAAACACTGAAGATGGCAGCTGTGATAGCAAAAGCAAATTTGAGAATACTTACACCCTGTAACGTTCAACACTGGAGCAATATAACCTAAGCCCCGACCCTCCTCGTCCTTCCTCTCGGCCAATAAACTAGACGAGGCAGCAACGTATGCAAAAAAAGTGGCGGTGCGCACGATTGCCCTCTACATTTCGTGACAACTTTCTGTGGCAAAGTGGCCAAAGGTATGGGAGTGCTTGTGCTCACCGTCGATTAGAGGTGTGCACACACACTTTTCCCTTTGGAAATGCAACAGTGTATGGAGCTGGATATTCCGTACGTAGCCAGCCAGTAAAAAAACACTGCCAGCTTTTTTTTTTTTCTTAATGATAGGGCTTTGAAGGGGCAGCTTTTTTTTTTTTCTTAATGATAGTGCTTTGAAGGGGCACTATCACCCCAAAGGTCATATTTGTTTTTGTTGTCAAAACTGATGAAAGTTGTAGTCATAGACATGCAAAAAAAATACCAAAAATACCTCCCCCCCCCCAAAAAAAAATTCCCACGCACACATTTTTTTTCTTTTTGCGCGCTCTTTTTTTTGTTTTTTTCCTCTTCGTGTCTTTTTATTTTTGACACCATCGATTATGAAATTTAAAAGCTATGTAAACGACATTTCTATAATATATAATAACAGCATTCGTAAAACATGTTTTTTAACGCAGTTGCGAATGCACTATGGCCCTTCTTCTTGAGATACTGAAAATCGGAACCTGGAGTAATGTCACATCCCGGTTTTTTATCCTCCCTTACCATAGCGGTGCTCGACGCATGTAGAACTGATGATGATCGAAGAATCGAAGTGCTCTTTTTTAGGCGCTCGATGACAAATAAAAAAAATACAATTTTGACCTGTCAGTGCCCCTTTAGGAGCTTGTGTCGCAGAAAAGTCGATGTCGGTGGCATGACGTGAAAATCCAGGATTGGATGAAGGGTCATGACATCACAGCCACATTACCACGCGTGGGAATTTCAAACAACCCACAATGCTCACGTGAAACATGACGTCACATGTGGAATGAAAGTGATTAAAAAAACATGACATGTAATGCAAATCATAGGTC